GGAGACACTTTGGTACAATCCGGTTTTATTGCAAATGACTGCTATACACCGGTATTTATGGACTTTGAACACACTGATATTCCCGTATAAGATACGAAATTACATGTACAAACAAAACGAAATTTGACATAAACGTTTTTATTCAAACAAATATAACGTTCTGATTCCTTAGTTTAAATTCACCTGGTGTATATTCAAATGAATGTGACCAATCGGTCTTCTGTTATTTTCATACTTTCTGCCAACGAGACTTGAAATAAGACAAAAGCAGAAACCTCTGGCCCTAAGGAACTTATTGGACCCTGTGAATAACACTTTTGAAAGCTATCGCCACCTAACTGATGCAATCGCATTTTACGATGGTCGTTTTGCATTAGAGAAGGGACAATACCGTCAGTTGCGGAGTTGTGAACGTCTCTTTCGTACCTGCGATGGATTTCAGCAAAATTTCCCCTTAGTACTTAGAATTCCAACCAGTTTATAATGATCAACAAATTGAATCACACATCAGCTTATGAGTTTACTATAAGTTGAGTTGAGGTTTTGTGCAATTTTTAGCAGATTGTTGGATTTTACCACTAGCGCCCTCTAAAGAAGACCCATTAATCAACTAGCCTGATAATCGAGACCTCTCGATATGGATGCTAGTGACGCTTTTCAAGCAGACCATTTGAGAGCCGCAACACTTTTGTTTAAAAATTACTTCATCGTAATCCCCGAGCCCCAGCGTAGGCGTGACGAGGATTCTGTCATTTCCACAATTGTCAACACTAATCTAGTGTAGGTGTTCGTTGAGCTATTCCGAATCTGGCGGGTAGCTTTTCTAGTTATACGTAAGATGTGGATACACACACTACGTAAACCGTCGCTCGAAAAACTGAAGGGAAGTCCTTCCTCTGTCTCAGTAGTGGGATAATTATTATAACCCATTATAAAATTGCACACCTGAACTTTAAATAGAATGTATCCCATATTTTGCAAGCGAACCCAATTAGCTGAGTTTGATGACGCAAGAGGTCGACGAACTACATCAAAATCCTTGACAGCACTAAGAAACACGGAACTATAAGCGGCTGCATGAGAAAAGTCGAAGTGATCTAGACGGGAGATCGACATGTAAGCGAATTCATACAGAGTCATCACAAAGAGAACGAAAACGTTTGGAGTCACGAGTTATTAGGCAAGTAGAAATCACAATCAAGACTGCCAATCATCAGCCAAAGCTGAGGAATAACCACAGCAGTATACTGTGCAAACTGTACGCCCCAGTGGTAAAACATAAGACAAATGGAAGCACGCAAATCCAGTTGGAGTAATAAGTATCATAATGCTGGTTAACAGCGGTTTACGGAGAAGTAAGTCAACATTTTCTTCTAAATTCGTGTTGGGAGACAAGAGGCGTGAGTCCCAGTGTCGATGTGTTTGTGACATTTTCTAACGGTAAATAATTTTGGATACGGTGTTCAATAGTACGTTGAAAATGGGTAGTATTAAACTCATCCTCCCAACCGTTTAATGGGAATTGTTTCCCTCTGAAATAAGTGAAATCTCTATCACTTTACCAATTGGATAATCTTCAACAGAGGGATGATTTCGAATGTGGAATGATCGAGTTTGGGTGCGATTGTTCACCCTTACCTTGAGCTCCACGAAATCCTTCTAAAGGACATTTTGTCACAAATCTCCTCTGCTAAGGAAACCCGACTCATTGACATCATGCTCCGGTGTGCCCCTCCTCCCACTCCACTCCAAATCAAGCGTCAGAGTTAAAAGTCAACATAAGAGGCTACCGCTGGGTGGGTGAACCACTGGTAATTCATCTAAATGAGTTAGCAAAAAAACAGCGATTACAACCCGGTCAGAAAGATACATAGGGATACCTAGGGAATCTTTATCTTTGTTATTCCGACTGTGCTCAGTGGCTGCTCTGGGCATCATGGTTTAATGGATAGTCCCACAGAACATGTGAAACAAAACAATGAAGTGGCGAACAAGCTCGTTTTCAGAGATTCGTATTCATGTCAATGCATCTCAATATATGCAAATCACTACTTGGTAATAAAGCTGTCTTGGAAAAATAAAACCACATCATAGATTACTAGAAGCGATTTCATCATGAGACCGAAAATCAGATTTACCACGATCACATATTTCTTTGAGATTGCTCGCGATACGATGTGAGGGTGGTTGGATCAGGGAAGCTTTAGCGCTTCCACAGATTGTTTTGGGTCACACAGAGGGTCTTGTGTAGAAGAATGCCACCACTTCTATTGTGACCACCATCCGACAGCTAACTTGCCTCGATAATCACTCACGAACTTTATACAGGAGCGGAAAGCCTCGGCCACGTCGAAAATGTGATTTGTTCAAGACAGATGTGAAACTACTACAATGGTGAGTGACTCAATCGTTCCAGTGTTCAGCCACACAGGGTGGTGTTCACGAGTCCATTCGGGCAATCGCTTAACGAAGACAATTTTAGTCCCAAGTAGTGATGTTTATTGAGAACTATTGGCATGAATAGGAATCTCTGAAAACGAGCATGTTCGTTACTCTTCTTCTTTTGTTAATTGGATAGGCTGAACGTTTGATCCCGTCCAATGTTAACTTTATCTGACACACTAGACAGCGGCTCATGACGGATCGCCGTTTCCATGAGCCAACCCATCCCGCTTTTCGGGTCAGGTTCTGCTTAGTCGAATGCTCCGGCTGTGAATCCCTCAATAAAATATTACATGCTTCGCCCCGGCCGATTTAGCGGTTTCTCTCTCATGAGCAATTCAAGGATCAATTTCATTTTTATTAAAACTTTTGAACCGTGATTCTTTCGGTACACAGTTTGGACGCAGTCACGCGATAGATGTATATATACAGGATGGTTCAACAAATGGATGGACTTCATTCTGCAGATATTGTCATTTTGTCACTTTTAAGTGATCTGAACGGCCGACGAATGCCGAGGCGTGCGGTTGGTGACAGGGAAATGAATTAATGTCTTATTGTATGCTGATCTAGCTATTTGTGAGAGTTGGCTTTATTTATGTGTGTGTGTGTGTGTAGATTTCATATTAACTGAAGATCTGAAACACAACACGCAAGCTAATGAACGAAAGATGAAAAAAGATTATATGATAAACGAACAGATATGAATCCACATCACTGGGGTTTTTGTGAGCCGAATAATCGGCGGTATGTGAAATCTGGCTCATCAGTCATTAGTAATCAGTTTAGAGTCACTGTAATTGTTTACCTCGGAGCCTATCACTTTAATTCTCGCGGTGATAAAATCGTTTGAGAAAGCATCAGAATTAACTTTTTCACAGTCCCTTCAATTTCCGACTAGATGAGTTTATGTACACTGCAGATGACGGGGGGGGGTATCCTACAAGACTATAAATGAATATTTCATTTCAATAACTGCGTAAATCAGTTATGTAATCGTACCAACGATACTACTCAGTCATGGCAATTACACACATTCATCTCTACTATTAAACATATCATCCTGGATGTAACCAAATTGGGAAGAATGAAGCCTAAATTTTATTTCAGGCTGCAAGACAACTAATCCCACCCGGTATATTCTGATTCCAAACTCTGCAATATTCATCGTCAAACACGGAGTGCATTTTCTCATTCACCAAGACTCAAACTTGTCAGTCACTGTTTCGTTCTTTCATACCCCAATTTATTCACAGATTCACATCATCTTTGCCAGAAAAATCATAATTATGTTGTATTCTTGTGAGCTATCTACCCGTTCTGCCTTTTCCCGTTTCATTTGGTAACTTGGCGGTGGTAGGTTTACTGGCTAACCCGCTGTGCTAATCAACTCACTATGGTTCAGTCAACCCATGCGATAATGCCAGCTCCCTATCATTGAAGACTGGTAGCCTCTGGTATTCGAGCTTCTGTGAATGACAAACCGATTTCATTGAATAACATCATCCTAACACATGCACGTCAAACAGTTTGGGGGCCTCTTCCCAAATGTGTTCAATTAAATTTGAACGCCTGGTATGGCTACCCGGAATCGAACTATTGTACCAGTTGTGGAAACTACCGGATTTTCCTTGTCTGCAGTTGGACGTGAGGGTCGGAAGTAAGAATCATTGATTCGGTACACGATCACTTTTTCAACAGATTACTTAGTTAAATTGAGCAGAAGGGACACCAAATCAAAAACAGTAAATAAGATTCACTGATACAAAACCGTACTAAAGTACAGTTTGTGTACGCCAATAAAACGAGGCTAAGTTTACCCTAACTGTGAAAGGCCACATAGATAGTGCTTGTTTGGGTTGCTACACGCCGTAAAATGTTTCCCCAATTCCAATTATTTTATTCATTTGCTCGTGTGACGTGTCAACTCATTATAATGGCACGTTCTCCTATTTAATTCATGAAGCAAGAAAAAACCCGTTTAGTTTGACATTCCTTTCATGTAGCCAATACTACCAATCATCCGTGTCATCGTAGAATTTGACACCCCCAGAAGCGCAGCATTTATTAATGTTTTGCGTGAGATAAAAATTTCAATCAGCGTATAAGAACATGCCATCACAGTATGATGAGGTACTTTCATTCAGATGACTTTTTAATTGAAAACAATGAAAACACAGGTAGCTTGAAGAAAGGTCGGAATTTTGTCGTGCTGAAACAATTTGTAAACGTTTTGAGCACATACGTCCAAACAACGCCATATAGAAATGCCCAAAAATACCCAGCGGTGACTTGAAACGCAAGCATAACAAATGGTTTTGCGTTTCGGCATGTCAGGTCGGCTTGTTGGCATGGGTGGTCAGGGCAAGGGAGCCCATTGCAATACAAAATTTGTTGAGAGAAACACGAACCTAAATCACTGCTTAGACATATAATATAAATATTTTTCACGTGGCCATTGTAACTGAGTCTCAGGATGAGATTTGTCCCTGTGCTGTGTTTTCGGTAATACCTATACTCTCAGCAACACGCTAAGTGGTCTCGGGTAACCAACTTACTGCATGTAGGATGTGATGAATTTGTTCAAATTTTTCGGATTGATGGAATGGCGAAGATTTTGACGGAAATTTTCCACCGCGTTCCGCAGTTCCACCTCGCTGTCCGTATCCATGATCTGTGGAAGAGAAAGAAAAGAGTGAAAGCAAATCCCTGAAATGAATCAAATCGGGTTCACACCCGTTGACGTGTGTTCTTGTTCGTGTTCTGTTTGTAGTGTGAGCATGGAGCGCAGAATTGGAATATGAATAACAGACGAGAGACTTGGATTAGAATGGACGGGAAAATCGTTTTTGTTTCTGTCTTTTTGTATGGTGCACGTGTGCCTGGACAAATGAGTTGGGAACTATTGAGTGCGAGCGAGGTACGTGCAATTCCAAATCGGTTACGAGTGATTACAACACTAGTTGCAGACAAACAAATACACATCAGTTGACTGCACTAGGGGAGACAACACGGTAGACAAGTTGACTTGGGTTGGACCACGGGTCAGACAAAGTTGATCTTTCTCTATGTGCTTGCTCTCAGTCAACAACCGGATGCACAATCTGTGGTTTGTAATTCTAACATTCTAAACGGAGTTCGGAAGATAGTTTTAAATGAATAACTTTTAAATTCTTAAGTCTAAACAAAAACAATGTACTTCTGTTTCTCAGAAGTCATCTCTCTGTGATTTAAAATTTGGCATTGAAATGTTTGACTATTTTTCGGAGGACCAAAGCAACAAGCAATGGAGAACTACAAATTTCTAGCTCCAATTTCGTTTGTAAGAACCGCAACTAGTTTCAGTTGTATATTTAAATGGCCAATCAAACTTTTGAGTGATTAATTGATAGAGAAAATCTGAGCCCAAATGAAGGAGTGATTACGAAAAGAGAAGTAGTAAAGCTCTAGTGGACTGACGAGTTTCAAATCCCGAAAAAAATCAATTAAATTATTTCTCACTGCTACCGTACCATCGGTGGAACAAAATATGATGCTTATACTCCAGCCTTTTTGACATATCTAAAAAGGAGTTGAAAATACTTTATTCTCCCAAGCAGCAGGAACTGACCTAAGGTGTTGCACCAGTCGCCAACAAGCATCAGTAGGCTAGAACGAAGTGTACCCGAAAGCGCAAAATTCTGTGGGCGATAAGTTGTAAAGATTGAGATTTCTAGAAAAGGCTTCTTCGTAATTGGTGCTTCACTGGACAACACGGAAGGGAGGACCCCTCAACTAAACCAAGCTCAGATGTCGAAAAAAATCAGATTGTAGTGTATTTTCCATTTAGATGTACTGTTTTATCAGCAAGCATCTGAAATCACTCAGTTAGATCAAAAAAATATAAAGGATGCCTCCTGTAGTAAACCATTAGTCAGAAAAAGTTTCCCAAAGTCTATCAAAAGCACTGAAGCCCTAAATGTTTGCTGTCAATTTCTGGAACTCTATGTATCTTCCCCTCGAGGGTTTTCGCGTACATACTCTCTCAACCTTAAACTCTGTTCGTTCGGATTCTGTGATACGAAGCATTAGGGGAATATCGTGTTACGACAAGGTATATTATTGAAATTTGAGAAAAGAGAACTAAAGTCATGAACCTACGGGGTATCAATCATAAGGAAAGCAGTATTATAAACATAGCACTGGATAGCAAAGTGCCTCAATGTAGCGATCGATTTTCTCTCTTATGCATGTGCGCGCGGGCGTCTCACAAGTAGTTCAGAGGTTAGGTTCCAGATTCTTATCAACGGTACGTCACAAATGCTTGCCGTGGTCATGCAGACCACAATCACTTTTGTGATGAAGTTGTTGTTGAGCAGTAATATGTAATCAACCGGTAGATCTTTCCTGGATTGTTTACTAATGACTCACGCCTTGGCACGTTTGGTTTCCAGTTTTCCCACCCTGGGTTGTACACCTCGTTGATCAATCCTGGTAAAGATCAAAACGTCTAGATTTTTTCAAGGCTTGTGACTGATTTAAATTGCATCATGAATGTGTCTGTAACTGTTCCGTTATTCAAACATTCGCACAAATTACGTTTGCTCTGAACCGGTTCTATTCACAGTTTCCAGTGTGTTCCGGACAAAAAGGATTCATTGCACTTGTTGAATCCATTCAACCATACATTCACCACGTTACTTGTGACCCGACATTTCCGAACATTGTACTCGCATCCCTTCTCCCTGATGCCGGGATTACGCGTTACTGTTTGATGTATTCAACAGTCGGACCACTTTGGCCGGTGCACCACCATCATTACTCCATTCATTTTACCTCTTCTCCACCACCACTCACCACGCCCCCCTAACTCCACACATACAAACACAAACACATATTTCTGTCCCACCACACACCCACACACACCCAACCGACCACACAAACGCACACAAATGACGCAGTCTCACCGCCATTATCCTCCTAATTGTTCTTGACCTTGTACTGGCGTACCCTTGGGTCGGACATGCTGGTCCTGACGGTTGGTCTGCCGTACAAGGGTTTGACCGGTCATCCTTGTTCGCTTTTCATCAAATTTTTGTTGCCTCACTATGGTTCCTGTTTCATTGATTCAGTTTCACGGTATTCCGGTGCAAACGCACTGAACCACAGATTGTGATATGGATTATTTATCAACAAATTTGTATTTTATTATCGCATCTTGATAAACCTATTTTGCTACGAGGCATTTGGTCCTTTGGGGTTTCGCACGTCACTCCACTGCGGACTTCTGATAACGTGAAAATTAACATCACCTTTGCATATTTTATGCAATTGAGCTCAAAGTTATCACAGTTCATGCTGCATTGCCGCCGGTGGGCTGATGTTTAGTCTATACGCAATGTTGACTGCATTGGTATTGTGCAAACAAGTCTGAGTGCCTTAAAATAGAATCAACTTGCACTCCCCCACCCCAGTCCCCAACCCAAAACAACACAGAGTACCCGAGCACGTGAGAGCGAAACCGGGAACGAGGAAAATCTCTGTCACCCATCTGTTGACATACGCTAACATGAGTTGCCACGGTAACCGAAATAAGTTGTTCAGTTTGGGGGGAAATTCCCATCCACTTGTCCTCTCCCCGATCAACAGCCACAGTTTACCTGGCCTTCTGACACAGACATACGCACCCCTCCATCGAAGCTATAGCGTCTCCGTTTATGTGTAGTTAGAACGATGAGTCTCTATAACTGGTCAAAGTTCAGAAGAATATGAGAAGTGGGAAACAGTCTATAGTAGTGAAGAAATAAGATGGCCAGAAATAAAAATTCTTTGGTTTATGATTGATGTAAGGCACGTGATGCATATAATCACTTAAGTTGAGAAAATAATCAGGGAAAGTTCTGCGCCTCATTCACCAGAAGGTGCATATTCACCTGTGGGTCAAAATCGAGCGAGCTATCTCTACGAAGATAACATTGTTATTTTATGTGGAAAATACAAACAGTTCCAAAGAAAGCTTAATAAAATCAAATCAATAGCAGCTTTGTGAATGTTATAATATTAATAACACAGCGATGGCGGTAGAGAATTACATTCGTCGACGTTTTAGTTACCGTGGGTAACCTTTCTCAAGGCAGTAAAACCTGCCTTAATAAATAAACACAATAAACACAACACATGATGCATCGATTCTTCGATACACTCCTTGCAGCATTTGGTCTTGATCTATTAAAAATGATCACCAATCGGATTTCTCTGGGGGAAAGCTTGCTAACTAGATCAACCATCGTGCATTCAGTCAACATCGTCTACGATATGTGATTCCCGAATCCCTCCGTATCAATCCTCTGGATAATTCTGTTCGCTCCAAAAGGGCTGTTTTGACAGCTTCACGGACATTCCTACGACAACGCATTCACGATTGTCATGTAATCATGCACTCCAGAATAGCTTTCTTATCTACTTTTTCACGTCTGTTTTATTGATAAAAAAGTAGTCTAATTGTAATTTTGTTTACAAGAGTGATTCAATTCGTCAACTGCGGGAATGTAAGGAAGCAGCTTTGCTATCTATTATTACACATTCACTGCGAGTGTTCGTTCTCATCTGCAGCTACATTTCCTAGATTGATTACAATTCATACCACAGGACCAGGTTCTGGGGTAAAATGAACCACACTGGTGCAAGCAGAGGAAAGTCTGACTGATGAGGAACATAGATACAACGTTTAGATAAACTTAAAGCAGTTGGTCTAAGAGTACTCAAACAGCGATGATAATGAAGATGACCTGAGTGACAATCATGATGGATGGTGATGGTGAAAATGATGAAGAAGGACGAAAGTGGTTCAAATCGAATCCAACAAGACCCACCTTTTTAACCTTTGACCAGGAGAGGTGAATAATAGATATATGAAAAGGGTACAAAACGAAAGTTTCATGCAATAAATAATTCACTTGTATCATTTCACGAATTCTTTATTAGAAAATAGCCCGAAAAGAACCCGGAGAAAACGATATAGATTCCAAATGAGTTTCCTCATGGACGATTGTTTAATTTCACAAACAGATATGGTTTTAAATCGGTCGACCGATGATATGTTGCCAAATAATGTATTTCTCCCTTTTATGATAAGTAATTTCTTTGAACTCAACTACTTGCTATAGGTAATAAATTACCACATCCGATTTCCTTTATGGGAGTGTTATAAATAAAGACATGCAATTTTCGTACGTGATTTTATCAGTTTCTTTCAAACGTATTCTTTCTGCTTTCCCTAAATCTTCTATCACCAGTCAACGAAGTCACTCAGAAACCACAATTTGAGAATGCCACGTACATTTATAAATTTCACTTTACAGAGGACGTTTATAATCTCCCATAGTTTGAACCCGAATAAGGATGAGCATATGAATATTACCCACGGCTTCTTGTTTTTGGCCATGATCATCTTGATTGGTTGATGGTTGCTCCTGTCGACAAATTGTATGATCCGATGTACTGAACACCATTTGCTAAAGGACTACGTCAGCTTATCTTCATCTGACAGCCTAGGGGGCCTGACTTTTTAATCACAAAGGCTTGAGGTAGGAACCTTCATTACCCCTTCTCCACCTAAGGTATCCGGGATTTTACACGATTTATTGATCTCTTTCGTCGATCAAACTTTGCCATTTCAGACCACTATTCTGGGCATGATCCCTGCTCATTGGAAACTAATNGGTCTTCCATGGCCAACATCATACAGGATGCAACCATCCCCCCCCCGCCACCCACTCCCCACCCCTAACGACTCAAACCAGTGTGCATGTGTGAGGATCAAAGTGTGAGCAACATCCGTTCATGGAACTAGAATGCTGATTATTTCTTCTCCAACCTATCATGATTTTGCCTACTGCCCCTACTAAACAATTCGAAATAAATTGTGATGTATTGGCTTGCAGAAGAATCACCTCAAACAAGCTTATTCGTTACTCAGTGTTTTCTTATAATGTGTAATGATGGTATATTCAGACAATTTGAACTATTTTTATTTGTAGGTTTCTTATTCAAATCGATAATTTCGTTCTGTTTCGGAAACATATGCACCTTTTTGGGCAAAAAGGTAAGCATCAATGTTTTCAAGCTTGAGCAATCCCTGAATCCGTTTACGCCACACTTGAAGCTTTTTGAAAATTGAATAGTGCTGATATTATTTCCAAGCCAGGTTGTGTGCTATCAGTTTTGGCCTGTATCGTAGAAGTTCAATAAAAAGGCTTGCATTTTCAATCTCTTTATATTTAATTTTATTCTGGCGTAAAATAACTTCAGGATAGAGAAAAATAACTAAATTGAGGTGTAGTGGAGTAGTAAAGAAGTGAGGTTATGACATGGTTTATTTCGCTTCAGACACACCGTGGAGTTAGTTGCAAAGCACACCCTCGGTTCGCTACAAACGATAAGAAGGAGAATTATTGATTAACACTGAGCGATTGGTAGACAAAACGGCTTTGTTATCTATAAAAATAGTTTGCCTGAATAACCTACGTATCTTCCTCCGGGAAACAGGGGTATATGGCATATATCGGGGCTAAATTGCTGCAGACGGAAACCGGAACATAACAATTCGCAATAGATTCCTCCTCAAAATTGGTCCTCTCTGTGGATGGTTTTATGGACAAAAATGCGTTAATTCATCGACCTTGAGAAATATTAATAAATGTTGAAGGTTAGATAAAAATCAAACACAATAAGATTTCTGTTGATTAGTCTTGGATTACCAGGTTTTAAAATGAGCAAGTAAACATCGGAAAATGTATAGCGTCTTGTATATGTTGATCAAACTTGATTAGTAAAATAGAATTATTTGTACTGTTGAGTGAATTTGGCTTGGATCAATTCAGTCCAGCACTGGAGGGGGTAGGGGGCGTGCTAGGGTACTCATTCACCATGAGGTTAACTTACCGGTCCGAAGCGATGCAGAATGAGAAAACTTTCTGTTGCTGGATTCATTCCAGACATGTTTAGTTTCCAATTGACCAACTGTAAAGCGTTGCAGTAGAGTGCAGAAATGGGGAGTAAAAACATTGTGGTATTAATTATCCAATTTTGAGAAAGGATGTTGGACCAGAAACAATTCAGATGGAAGCGAATGAAATATGCGACGCTAATTACGTGAGTTGGACTTTGTTCTTGTTCCGCATGCTAACATCTAAACGATATAGACAATGCTCCCCCAGTCACCAGATTTTAATGGGTATCCACGTGACCGTAATCCAACGGACGAATGCAAACAAATCCACAGACGGTTCCAGTAAATCCAACGTTAGCATTCCCTAGTCTAACCACACAACCATTGTCTCTCCCTCTCTGTGCATATCTCTTATATAAAAGCGTTGGTCACACTTGACTGAATTACATCGACACACCTGCGTTTTCCTATTGATCATATTGAGCAGGTTGACGACTAATTTGAGAGTAATTTTGGGCTGTGTTTGACTGAGCGCGCGGAAAGAGAAAAAGAGGGCATAACGTGCCAAATCCTCGTTCGTTTTCATTTAGGGAGATGTTCAGCTTCTCTCCGACCCGCAGGTGTTTCGAGAATAAATGTATCTAGAAGAATTGAGCACCTCGGGAATTCGCATTAAATGCAACTGATGACTTGAACACAAACAAACTTAAGCATACTTCCATACAGGTTTCGGTTCGCTTAAACTCATTAAATTACTACACTTTGGAACGAATATTCGTAAACGGTATAAACTATCTTTCCGTATAGCTCAGTACACGATTTCAGATACATTCAATAGCTGGACTGTGACCTGGTTACTCCATTATCTCGATGATCTAGTGTAACAGACAATCTGGTGAGCTAGGCTGTAAGTGTAAAAACCTTTTCGTGTCAGTAATCATCATTTCCAGTTGAAATTCGCTCAGGATTTTTATCCAGGAAACGTCTGTGTGATTTCTTTCTAGAAACTTCAACTGAGACAATGCATTCACAAAAGTAACGACTCAGATTATAATGGAGCTGCGCTCCTGTTTCGACGACTGAGAACCAGGTTGCTCATATATCAGTCTATGTGGACTGTTAGAGGCCGAACTTCTTCTCGTCGCCTAATATCATACAGTTCCATTTAGACTTTCAGTTGAAATTTTCTCTAAGAACCCAATCACACACCCTGGGTTTTTATCCAGTATAGTTATTTGATCTATTAAATTCCAAATGTGGTTTGTATTGCTTGATTCACGTGCTGTACATTTAGATTTTATTGTAGTAACTGGCTGTGACTTTGGAACGCCTTTCACCTGCTTCTGAGAGGCATGTTGTAAAAGGTGGTATTTATTCTTAGCGTTGTGCCTGTGTGCTCCTCACACGAAGTTTCTGACAACTGGCGTCATCCGAGTGTGCTTCGTTTATTCGTGAGAATCATAGTTCGTAGCTCACTCTCGATGAGTATTTCGCCTTGTTCCAGGTCATGTAGTTTGGAAAATCATGCCGTTCTCCGGTTCAAACAATTTTCTGGACCATAAACTCAATCATGCTGCATGACCTCAGCGGTTCTTGTTCACTTCATTGTGCGAAGAAAAAGTTTGTCGGTATTGCATAACGGTATACTGCATACGGTTATGAAAAATAGCTGATAGAAGCAATTTTTGTGACTGGGTGTGAAGTGCACCCCGATAACAGCATCCTGGGTGAAATCATTAGATAGCCATTCAAAACCTCAGAGACACATTTTCCTAGATAAATTATTTTACAATTGTTTTACAAAAGAACCGCTCAGTTTTCTTATGTGGTGATGAGCTTCATCACTCTCGTACCAGATTGAATGGATCTGGCTGTTCGATTATTGAGGAATTGCGAAGAATCAGAATGAGATTAATAGCATTCCGTTCTCTACACTTGCCGGACACTCATAAATTCCACTTCCATTCAGCTGTTATTTTTTCTCATCCTGAAACTGTAGCCTGGATGTTTTCAAGTGGTTTTACCAGTCAGCTTAAAAGTTCCGAGTGTCTGACGGGGAATGCGTTTTTGCTCTGTTTTAATCCTGCACCACAAAAGTTGACGAATACGTGTTTACTAACTGTCTTGACCGATCACTTGTCACAAGAGCAAAGTATCGATCGATGTTTAAATAGGGATTTGATTCAGTTCACTTAAATGCGACGGCCACTTTCAAATTGGAGGCATTCCGCGTGGCTGCAATCAGCCTTATTTTATAGTAGCAAATAAAGCGTTTCACAAAGTGTATATGCCCAAATTGTTCTAAAGACCATATGTCTAATAGATATGTTTGCTTTTGAGGAATGGAGGATTTGATGTGGTTTCAAACTAGGATTCGTCTTGTGTGTAGCAAATGATGCTTGAACTGGAAAGCTAGGAAGCTCTGGATAGCTGTGTTGATTTGGTTGGGTCACATCAGCAGTGCAAATCCATCGACCCAACTGGGGGATCGAATCCGGGACCCACAAAAAAATACACTGTCCAAAAATATCATCTACTCTTACTATTCCATTTTCTGTCATTTACTGAGTTATAAGAAGAGTATTTTTATCAAATACGTTTATCATCCTTCATATTTTTCATAAAATCTGAGCAAAACGAAACTTTAGAAAACAGCATTCGAGAAAGAATTTCTTTACAATATATCGCAGCAGGCGATGACATTTATAAGACTTGATAACACATTTCATTTTCACTTGCATTCTTCTCGCATTCACGATATGGACGCCCAGTTTTCTTTCTTAGTTTGTCCATCAAAGACTTCAGATTCATTCGCAGATTCATGAAAAACATATATTGATACACAAGTATGTCTCACAAACATAGTGTGCAGTTTTCAACTGGAAGTACTCCGTTATTTGCAGGAAATCTTTTGCCAGAGTACTGCTTAATAAATCTCACCACATGCGCTTTCTACATTTGCCACTCACCCCAAGGACAAGCTCACGACAGCACGCAAAACAGAGACATATATGTCCTCTGCAACACCGTACCTTGCGCAGGTTCATCTTAACGTCAAACGGATCATCAAAAGTTTTAAAGTCAAACTTGGATGAGTTAGCTGAATAGTTCAGCAGGCTTCTTTTCTCTACCGTTCCACTGTTTTGTGTTGCAGCTGAACTTCAACCAGCCATGGGGCAATTTAAAGCGGTTTTCATGGGTTGATCTGACTGTATTCGACAACGTCATCGGAACCACTGTCTCTTTCGTGGACGCCTCTCGTTCAATTAGACTGGGCGATGGATAGTTGCGGAAGCAATCCAGGCTGGTCAAAGTGCTTGATTTGGCTTCAGCGCTACGTGTACGAGGAACACAAGTGCAGTCGAAAACAAGTCTTTTACAAATTAACTAGACTGGCCGGTAGGTTTATAAAACTTGAAACACAGTGATTGGTAAGAGATACGTTACAAGAATGAAGTATCTATTGTAATCTCGTCTTCTTATTGCACTTATGGCTGAAACTTTGTCTCATCCGTTCCCAGTTTTTATACACACACACTTAGGTAAGCAATGAGATGATTTATTTGCAACTTTACTCCATACAAAATGGGTTTCAAGTCCCATAATACTTGATGTAGTGAGAAGCTACTCACATTTGCCTGAGTGATACGTTCTTACACGTTGATAAAGCCCTCAAATCCTTAAAACAACACGAATCGATGGATTAATTTTTATCTGCAAAAGACAGGTGAAATTACTGTTCAGTTTTTTGATTACAATTAGGATTTGTTTGTGATAAAGCACATTTACGTGTTTCGTTAACTTTTATCCGATACCTTCAGTTTGATATTACATTTTTGCAATCAAATGTCTCTTTACGAGTCACTAGAAATGGAACACATTCTGCACGGGAACGTGAAACAATTTAAACAAAGTTCTTTTTAATATTTCTCATGGGGAATTTGCAGAAGTTGAAACTAAACGTATTCCTACACCATCGGTAATCGATCGTGGACTGGTGGTTGCCCTGAAATTTTGTAAAAGCGTTGACTTGTTTCCGATGCTATCTCATCCCAGACAGAGTGATGGTCGCAACACCATTAATTGATATATCACAATGGAACAATAAACCGAATCACGTCTGCTTTTCCAGCGAGCCGGAACATTTTTGGTCAGGCAAAAAAACCGAGTTTAGGTTCGTTTTTCACTACATCACACCACAGATGGGCAATTTGCATGCAAGCCACATTTTTCAACTTGCACGCATAAGTATTCAGCGTGACTGATAGAATTTTGATGACATCTTTCTCGATTAACCGAATTGACTAACTCTACACTATGGGATTCCCGAAAATACCGCGTTTCAAACTGAGATTTCGGATTCGCTATTAACTCAGTGTGTGTGTGTGTGTGTGTGTGCGTGATCGGGTCCCGCTGTGATAATGTAATCCAAGCACTATGGAGCGCAGCGTTCAACGAGGAGAAACTCTTGTATGCTAAGCAGACTAGAGCAACTCTTGTTCAATTTTGTCCGTAGTGTGTCTCTCAAAACGGATGCGTTGGGTGACGTTGCCCTGCTAAACCCCGTCGTGTATTTGGTGTATCCTTCTGTTTCGTGAAACGCTCAATGCCATTTTGAGGCTGATAGGATAGTTGAGTATATGCCACTGAAGTTAGACGTATTTCGTGAATTTTAGAACAGACTACTCTCGGGTCAAGAAAGCTTGGAATGGCACTATATGTAAGCCCCGGGATATGAGTTTTGGCTTCCGACTGGTTAAATAAAGTGGGAGTAAACGGATGAGTTCGGTGAAATCAAACCGGTTAAAACAATATGAATATGAGATATTTTCAATCTGATTTTACAAAACTTGACTAAAATTACAGAACTTAGTAACCAAGTTGTATCTCTTTCATTTACCAAAGGGTTTGAGAAGAAACTGCGGTAGGGTTCGGTTAACTTGTTTTGTCTTTTGTCATAAGGTCTGACTGTTCAGTCGGAGTAAACAACTTATAGTTGCCTAATATCAGCGACTAGAACAAAATGAGACATGTAGCTTTCAAACCAATCCATTGTTACCTTGGTCATGGTCAGCAAAACGTTCGAAACAGGTCATTTAAGCCCTCACTTGAGTGCCGCAACGCGACCAGATACGAGACCATAGATATCGATTGATCCACCGCAGTAGAGACGTCAGCGGTAAACACTGGTGAACGGATGTCCGTTATGGTTCAGTCTCGTCATCGATGTGAAATTCCTAAGCCAAAAATTACCCTTTGCTTCTTTGTTCGTCATCGTGATTGACAATAATAAATTTTCTTGTGCTGTAAGTCTTAAATTAACTTTTGTTTTATTGGTTGATTTAAGAGAACTCTGTCATGATGGTCTAAAACGAAGAATGCCAAAAGAAAGGGCTCTTCTGTTGATTACAAGAAAGGAATTTTTGAAGACTCCCACGAAGCAAGAGGAGAAAATTACACGGCTTCTTATAAAGAGAAAAAGCTTGATCTTTGATTGGTTCGAAAATGAGGAGCATAATACGATATCCTCTGTACAAAGAAGGAGATAATGAAGTGCTAGGATGCCTATGTGTGTCTACCGGGTTGACAACCATTAGTTCTTGAACTAGAATACACCTGATATGTATGTATTATTTTGAGGAAGTGCTTAAGAAGATCTGGTTCACTTATCATCCACCGCACGAAATACTTGGAGCACTACCAAAAGGGAGCAGACAGGATCAAATAATAGTTCCCTCATGAATGACTTTATGCTTTCGGATTCTTGACCAGCCAAAAAACCTATCTTATAAGCAGGTCTTGTTATTAGAAAATAACGATTACATTGAGAAAGGATGCGAGATAAATATAAATGGTAACTTGAGCAAGCCTAGTACGGATGATGTCGTGGATTGGGTGAAAAAAAACTTAAGGAAATAAATCCATGAAAACTGTGTAATCAATGCACTACAAGCAGGCTGCATTAACATCGAAAGCTTATTCAAGTAACGATTTACAGCTGGATCGCGAATATTTGAGTGAACGGTTCCACAGGAAGTTAAGACGTAAAACTTCAAACCGGAAATCGAGATATGGAGATTTATGAGGATATTCTAGAAGGAGACGCCATAAATACAGAATAACTAAGCATTGTTTATCAATAAATTTAGGTTTCTATGATAGAAAAATAGGATATCCCAAAAAAATCAATATCGTACGTTTTAAAAGAAAAATTAAAAATCAGTAGGTCGTAAATTCGCCTTTTGATTTAGTTATACCAAAATAATTTGTTAAATTATATCGTACCACTTCCATAGCAAGGAATCCTCTACGCTTGTTCTTTTGTGGTCCTCAAATAAAGATAGAAAACGCGATACACCCAAAAAATATACCTACGTGTTTGACCATTACTGAAAATAGAACTTGCCGAGGGAATTCGAATGTTACGCTAAGAAAATTTGTTTTATCTTTTCTTAAAACCAGTCCAACGGCCGATAAGACACTAGAGAGGTAGACAGTCTGATAGATAAATTTTAAATACAACCACTTTAATGATAATTGGAACAATTTATACTCACCTTATCTTTAATGGCTTGGGCAAAACTTGCGGACTGTCCAGTGCAGTGGATGAGAATTGCACCCAGAACCAGACTGTCGTACATAATCTGCAAGTATATAAGTGCGATTAATTCATAGTTGTTAAAGGTGAGGAGGACGACGATATTAAGTTGCGCATAAACACTGAAAAACTGGGCAATGAGAAGAACAGTTACTTGGGAATAGAGACATCGGCGTTGAAGTTTGCGATTTTCACTGTAACATCATGAAAAAAACCAGTATTACCGTACTTGTCTTTTGGTTTCCTAAATAAAATGCTAGATTATCTTTGGTGAATTCCGGTTATGCATAGATTAGAACGCTTTCCACAGAGTTGCGTGAATTTTATTATATTCTGATTCGTATGATGTTTGCTGTAGACAGTTGGGATTAGTCATGCAAATCGCAACCCATGATGCGCGTCGCATAAGAGGTTATCCACCTGTCTGAGTATCGTTATGGTTACTGAACTGCACGGACGTCCCATACTCTGAGATTATATTTAATCCACAATGAATTCATTCAAGGATTATGCAGAGACGTCAGTAGAATATTATGCAAGACCTGGAAATCCAGGCAAAGAATGACAGAGAAAATAACTGAACATATATGAATTAAAATCGGGAAAACACAGATAAATCAAATTTGGTCTATCTGATTAAAAAGTGTAAAACTTCCCGATTTCAAATAATGGACGCTGCTATTTCTGGATTTGTTTAGATCGTTAAACAGGAACATGGAGGTTCTGAGTTCGAATCCTACACCCGTTACCTAATTCTCAATTCGGCTATTCCCCAGGCAGTCTTTGTAGGGCTGCGGCCTCTTCCTGAATGTTGAATGTAGATCTGGATACACGATAAATCAAAAAGGAAGCAATGGCATTTACGTTTTTCTTCTAAACCATTCATTACATCCACAAACCACGTACAGATGAAATGAACCGGTGACATTCAACTCGCGTATTCATCAACCACAAAATTAGAAAAAAACGAAAAAGCACGGCTTTGTTAAATCGATCAGTAATTATTTACTTGCCTAGATTTGTCCCTGCAGACGCGTTGAGTACTGATGAAACATTTATGTGAATTCGAGTCGGGAAATGGATTAATTTCAGCATTTGGCGCAAACGCAGCTGTTTCATGCCAAATACTATATGATCTTCAGGTTTGCCTCGTGTGAGTGTGAATCATAATTAGAACGAGTCGGTAGATTCCTCTCAAAACCTTACCCCAATTTCAAATAAAATGCGAAAGTGATGAGACAACTTTTGGCTGCAGCCGAGCTAATATTAGATGATGACGAGTTCCAAACAGGACGAGACAGCTGTTTAACGCTCTTCGCCGGTTATCACAAACATTTCCACCGCACTTAAATGAGCTTATATTAGTTCAATTTAATCAGGCACAAAATGAAGTAAACGCGAAACGAAAAGCTATGAACCTCCGCATGCACCTTATTAGGGAACCTGAGCATTGAACCCGGGGACCTCTATGCCATTAGGCAAGCATGATATACACATGGCTAAAGGACAGTTAATCAGCCTCTCGTTTTATGTCAAGGTTCATCATAGACTGTTGAAGATATAGGTGCCCTAGAAGGTGGAATTAGCTGTACAGTACTCTGTAGTTTTGATTTGACACTTTTTTAGTTACTTGCAGGATGAAATTCTTTCTCCAACTAGAAATACTTAGAATGGGTTGAACTCTGGGACGTCATTCTACACATACATGGGCAATGAAAAGAAAAATACTTTTATGACAGTCAACGGCGCAAACTAACAACACTCGTTCTTACAATGGGTGTCCCAGCTAACCCACCACCTGCTTATCACACCAAACAAGTTCAGTCATAACTGATTCTCTCGCATTCTCATCGGTGACTGCATCATAAAGTCTTTCAATTTTATTAATCTTTTTAGATTACACATCACAAAAAGAAGCCTAATATCCAGAAAGAATGTAATACTAGGAAGTCTTTGAGATGTCAAAATAGATGGGTTATTCGATGAGATTAGTGAACTCTCACGGTTAGAATTGAGCATTTAGCTTACAATTTCTGCACCTGAAGAGATGATATGAAATAAAACAATTCACACCACAGAGAAACATCGTGCTCCTAATCGGGAGTTTTAAGTAAGAAATTTCTTTCCTAATTTTTAGACCAAATGTATTTTATCAGTCCTTCCCTCATTGCGCTCATGGATCACAGCTTTTATCATCCACAAATCTCCATCATGGATATCCGGTCATTATCACGAAATGCGTTTCTTCAATTTATTCAAAGCTTCGCCTGCTTTTTCTCATGTGGCGCAGTACCTATGCAAATGTGTTAGTGCTTTGTAAGTACGTACAAAATAGCAAACAACGATAAAGTAAAGGGGTAAGCAGAAGGTCAGTGATTCGGGGAATTAATTAATTAATTGGTTAATTGTATTTTACTTGCGATGAAAATCCTTGTGATGTTTGAGAAACTGAAGTTATTTCCTTTTTCTAAAACGTCCTTTCCCAGCATCAGCGATACATCTTAGTGATGACCGTGTAGCTCATTGGTACGGGTTTGAATTTTTAACTCGAAAGTTTACCGTTTGGATTCTGATAGGGACAACAAATAGATGCAAAGCTGATGAATCCCAAACGGGACGAAAAAGCTGTCCCTAATGGTTTTTGCTGGTCATCAGATATATTGCCGTCGGTTTATAACCGCTTCCGTTGAATCGTCAATACCTATTTAACAGTATACTGTCATTGTATCTATTTTCTTGAGCAGTGCTCTAATTTAAAGCGTTCCATTGAGATTTTCAATGGTCAAATTTCACTCCCTCTCCTGCTTTACTACTAGAGGCACAATTTCAACCCTTACTGTATGCCTATCTCCCCAAGGAAATATTCCTTTGCAAAGCTAGATTTGAAATATTCTGCTAGTTTAATGAAGTTGAAGTTGTCATGGACACATTCAGTTCAGAGCAACAGCTTATTAATTAGACAAATCCGGTTTTGAGACTCAGTGAATTTGGTGAGCATGGACTGCGGGCCATTTCTAACCAGGAAAAAACAACTGATCCCTGTTGCTCAGGCTCTTCTGCGATGATTGAACCTCACAAGGTTCTCCCAACTTTTGAGTCACGATGTGTTACGTGTATTAACTTGAAACCTCCCTTGTAAAATCCCATGCCTTTGTGAGTTCAGTAGCGTATGATCATTTATGCATAGCACGAAGTTACAGACGCGACCAAATGACTCCTGAACAATCTTAAAGATTACTAGAAGGTATACAGAACAAATCCCTAGTTATGCATTTTTTTAATTAAAACTCAAATATACTTAATCCATGGCCACCGGATTTAGAGTTGTGTTCCTCTTCTAGGACACACCGATTATATTTGATTGAACAGACAAAAGTTTACTAAATAATAATAATAATAAATAACGTGTTTGGTGGCCACAACACAATACATTATTCCAGTGAGCGCCAAATAACCACTGTTAAACCATACAGCAATAAAATCGAGCTGAAGTGCCTTAGAAGACCCCGTCAAATTATACAACCTATGCGTTACTGCTATATTCGCAGAGTAAATTTTTCAGAATTTCAAAATGTTTTAAATACTCTTATTTTCTCTTTTATAAATGACTTTTTCATAGTTCTTCATTCCTCTGAAACTATCAAGATGGTTGAGGACACTTCCGGTGAAAAACATTCTTTGTACTTTTTACAAAGTAATCTAACTGCAATCTCTATTTGAGAGCAACAATCTGCTTCTTTCAGACAATACAAAGAAAAACAGAATTGGTAATGGACTGTCCAGCACTTTGTCTGGTTTCCTCATTCAATGAAGTTGCTGTGTTGCACTGTATTTTACTTCGGTTTTTGGTTTTATTTGAAAACCGGTTTAAGCATAAAACAATCTTTAGTCAGCAAGGACATTTTAAACAAAATAAATGGGATATTGAATCAGTCGGAATACTCAGTACTCGGAAGGAAAGAATCTGCACTTTGGTTCGTTATAAGCTGCCTCATAGCACTTGTTGCTATCGTTTTTGTAATTACTAATACTTTCGTTGTTTTGTTGTTTTTAAATATATTGGTTCACAAAAGATTTTACAATCCAATTTAAAGCAAACTGCCCTTGCTGATAAGCCTGCTACTACATATATCCATATATGTATATATGCAACATTTCGACGAACGAATACCATTTATTCCTTCCGCTATGAATGCACGGGATTATATTTCTTTCAAAACACTTAACTGTGATTAAAATTGTACAACAATCACTACCCGTGAATAGTGTAAAATCAAAGTCCCAAATATATAGGTAACCAACAAATACATGATAGGGTTTTTATTCAGTTTCCAAAGCGGTACAGTATCATTTGCGGAACGACATGCGCGAAATGTAAGCTGTGATAGCGATTATCTGATAAAGTGCATTGTGTTTAACTTATTTTACATAGGATACGTGATCCGGTACACCTGTAACGATAATCGAACTGTTGATCAGCGATCGTTTGGTACCTCATGCTGACCGTCTGGCCTTGTGCAGCGTCGGGTGTTGCATGAAAATTTGCTTTTATTTGTCTAGAATAAGCTGTGTACACAAACCATGCCACGTTGTAGTTCAAGTGCTCAGCATGCGTGTCAGTCGTCCCTCTATTTGCAAAGAGTATTTGACCAAAGTTAACCAACCAGCGATTAAAAGTTACCTAATCCCCCATCTAAATGGAGTGTGCACTTTATTCATCAGGGTGACCGGATGAAGGGGAATACCCTTCATATTTATTTTTGCAGCATTAACAAAAACTGTGCAAAATGACTGAGACGACAAAAAAAACTATAATTTGCGGCAAAAACAGGACCTCACAAGTGATGCAAGATGTGTAATCAATTAAGAAGTGGTCCTGATTCTATCAGCTTCCATTAAAAATCATTTGATGCATGAAACCTTTCACATTCTAGAAATTCAAAGGTTCGATGGAATAAGGAAGTGTCATTTGCAAAACTTTATGCCTTAGCGGCTAAAACGAAATGGGCCTTACCGTCCATCAACTTAGCTGAAAAATATGAAATGCATTATTGTGCGTTATAGCAATAAGTCACTTATTCTAAAATGACCCCGAAAATACTGGCAACTAAAAACCTTACCCTTACAGATCTACACCACATATGTTACGGTCAAGGATTGAAGTCCTACATTTGTGATCAGACAGTCCTTATTC